CGTTTTGATCATACACGTTATGACTGAGGTTATTAATTTACAAAATCTACCGACTATATTTACAAGATGATAAATTTATTTCTTGATGCATATACCGGTTGATTTATTAGCTCACCATCAAACTTATGACATATGATAATTAATCTAATTACAAAAAAAAATTTTAATGAACATATGTTCTATTTCAATTATTTACGAAATTATAACACTTTAAAGTTGTAATCAGGGTTGTGCTGTGTCGACATTACCACGTCAAGGAATCAATTATCGACGTGTCGACAATGTCAGGTTGACAAAAATGTTTGTCGACATCGATTTTTCTGCCACTCATCATGAGATCACCACGCACTTTACATCAAATCATTATTACCAATCCACTTGTTTGGAAAATGTTGGTTTAACCACTCGACAACTTCTCTTTCGGGATGGTGTGGGACACCATCGTGCTGGTACCACATATTTTGAATTACATTAAGAGGTATATCTTCAAGTAAATCTAAAAGTGTATGGTTCAACAAGTATATGCAAACCTAGTATTGTTGTTAAATATTCCACACCAAACTTTGATGCTGAAACGTTGTTGAAATTTCCTTGGTCTAATCGCATGCGGATTTTGTAATGCCCAGATATGTTCATTATGGTAATTGCGGGGCTAATGCTTTGATAGTAGCGAGAGGAAGTTTTAGGAAAACCAATGTCTTCAACAACAAAATTTTATTTACAACAATAATAACAATAATGTAAGTGCGGACGCGAAAAGGGTAACTGCTGACTGATCTGCCGATGGCAACTGACAACTGATGGTAACTGAACTGACTGAACTCTCCGGGCCGATCTTGGTTCCTTTTATCCCCGAGTCCAGTAACATCCCCGGTGAAAGCTCTCTTGGAGTCCTTGTCTGGACCAAAAGGATCTGCTGTCCAGATGTACGGAGAGAGTTCTTCTGAATAGTTTCGAACGCTTTCTGGCGACCAGATGTTTGCCACGGAGAGCGTCCAGTAATATCTCCGGTGAAAGTTTTCCGGGAACCCTTTGCCTGGACCAAAAGGGTGTCCTGCCCAGATGACCGGAGAGAGATTTTTTTGAACGGTTTAGAAAGTTCTCTGGCGTCCAGATGTTCGCCACAGAGACCCCCCTGCCACTGTTTGACCATGGGTTAGGAAACACGATACTAGAGACCTGCCTGGAAATGGTCAGGGAATCTAACGCGTCTTCCATATCGCGTTGTTGGTGGAGCAAGGTCTGTCTGCTGGGGTCCTGAATTATTCCGCGTAGCCTCTGGGCGTTGTGGATCCTCCTGGCGTTGTTCCTCTCCCGACAAGATGTAGGCTGGTTTCAAGCGGTCGATTGAAACGGTAATTTGCTTTCCTTTCTTCTCCAGGGTGAACGTCCTGTCGTTCCGGTTGGTGACGGGATATGGGCCCTCGTATGGGACTTCCAACGACGAGTGGTGTTCGCCACCCAAGCGAATCCAAACATGTGTACAGGTGGCTAGGTCTCTGAAGACAAAGATCTTTTTACTTCCGTGCCTGGTTCCGTGAACCGGTTGAAGCTGTTGAAAATGCTTTTTCAATTCTTGGGTGAAGTTCGTCGCACCTTCCTCGTTCCTGCGCGATTCTCTAGGTGCCAAGAATTCGCCCGGGAGTCTGAGAAGTTCGCCGTAGACTAATTCTGCTGTCGTTGCTGAGAGATCGTCTCGCCAGGCTGACCTGATGCCCAGCAGGACCACGGGTAAGATATCGACCCATTTTTCAGTGGCTTGGCATCGGATGGCGCCTTTGAGTTGACGGTGGAATCTTTCCACGAGACCGTTGGCAGCGGGGTGGCAAGCGGTCGTCCGAAAGTGCTTGGTACCTAGCGTGGCGTTAAGCTCCATGAAAAGCTGTGACTGGAATTGTCTGCCTTGATCCGTTGTTATTCGCAACGGCGTTCCGAATCGGGATACCCATCCGGTCACGAAAGCTTTTGCGATGGTGGATGCCTCTATATTCTCGACGGGGATCACTTCGGGCCAGCGCGAGAAACGGTCCACACACGTTAAAGCGTACCTGTATCCTCTTGACATAGGTAGTGGACCCACCAGGTCAATGTGGATGTGCTCGAACCTGCCACTGGGTAATGTAAAGTTTCCAGTGGGGGCTGACGTATGTCGGGTTATTTTGGCTCGCTGACAATCAAAACAGTGCCGGGCCCACCTCCTACAATCCGCCTTAATCAACGGCCACACGTAACGTTGAGTTACGAGCTTGACCGTGGCGTTAATTCCGGGGTGTGATAGTTGATGTAGTGAATTGAACGCTGCCCGTCTAAATTCGCGGGTGACGAAAGGTCGGGCATTAGGCGTAGAGATGTCGCAGTACACACTTTCACTGGTTCCTGGGATTGTTACCTTCTTCAAGTTGAAAACAGAATCTGATTCCAGGAATTGAGACAGCTCATCGTCGTTTGTTTGAGCCCGTGCTAATGCCTCGAAATCCAACGCGGGTGATAACTCTTCCACTCGCGATAGTGCGTCGGCCAGCACATTGTCTTTTCCCGCCACGTGACGTATGTCCGTTGTAAATTG